AATTCTCACCACCTGTGTCTTGCCAGTCCTCGTGAATAAATATGTGTCTGTCTCTGTTACAAGGAATTCCTCCTAATGTCCTCTGGACGTCCAGTAAAGTTGTAATCTTTGGAAAGATGCCGTAACTTTTTTGTTAAATTGCATATTTTTTTCATGTGTAGCCAAATTACAGACATCAGCAGTCATCCACACAGGTAAACCAAGGTCAGAATGTATATTGATGTTTATACACGTTTGCTACTTGAAAATCATTTGTATTTGAATTTTAACCTCTGATCACAGATTTACATGTTTTACTTCTGTGCAGAGGCATTCTGCAGTAGGGATTGGGTTTCTCATATGCGTGGTCATTGTTATAACAAAATATAAAAAAATATAAAACATCAGAACTGATTTTGTTCTAAATGACCAAATATTTGAAGTCGACAGAGGCAGAGGTTCTCAAATACCAAAAGTTTGCGTGCCCCCATGAAAGAGGGTGGAGTGACAGTGAATTTTTGCTTCCAGTGGAGGCGTTCTTGTATCTTGTTGCCTTGTAAAATGGAGCCAGAGACGAAAAAATAAATAAGAGGTGCATTTTGGTTTATATTCACTTACTGATTTTAGATTTGATCCTACATACAGGCAGCTGACATGAGCTTCCCTGTAGTTTGGTGAAGCTAATGAACACTAGCATATTACTTAGTTGTTTTACTGCATTCTAGGTCAACACTGGTTTAATTTCCTCAACATAAACATAAATAAAAAATAAACAATATATTTATGGAAAAACATATAGTATTTTTTTCTAAGGTTTGCACATACAGGAGTGTCTTTTTTGTCACCTAAACCAATCCTTGTACTCTGAAATCTACAACACACAGCCCTAAGTAACAGAAAGTAAAGCACTGGGATCTAGAATGAGGCAGAAACACGAGACATGATTAGTAGATCCTATCGATCTGTTTATGCTGCCATTTGAGAAATAAGCACTGCTTAATGGCACAGCATGAATGTCAACATTTGCAAAGACTGAAAGGCGTGTTTCATGTATGAATGCTTTGCTGAAATAAATATTAGTTTTTTGTCATTTCTGTGCTGGTTCTGGATAAAAGCCCTGTAGGTGGTTAGAGAAACACTCTGCTGTACAAACAAGCAAACAGGGAAAAATAAAATAAAACAGTGAATCGGAAATAATAATTATTGTTACTATCACTGTTGGAAGTAAAACTAAACAGAAAAATATCCCTCTGATGGCAAATTAAATGTGTGACTTATGTACACATAAAAAAACAAACAAATGCATTATTGACATAAAATGTTTAAAGATAAAACTCTAATCATTTTTCAACACATTTGCAGTGGTCACTAGTCCAAATGACTGCCTTACGAGTAGATCTCTGTGGGGAAAAAGCTCTGGCGCTCCTGTTCCAGGAAGTAGAAGTGAGTCAGAGGAGTTGGGAGCAGAAGACAACAGGATTTGGAGTCTTTTTTCCTGATATTTGGACAACTCGCCTCTGATTGTCTAACAACAACACAACTCTATTACTGACTCCGGTTACTTTGCAACGTTGATGTTTTACCTCCACAAGCCTGGAGGAGTTCTGCCACGTTTGGGAGATGATAAAGCTAACAGTTAGCTTCTACGAGCCAAAACATTCTCTGCTGTTTCCTGGAAACTAAACCAACAACCTTCCCCATCGCGAGTCAAAATGAGTGAGTCCATGATGGCTACTGTGACAATATTGGGTGAAATTCATTGGCTTTTCTAATCTGAGTGTTTCCTGTCTATTTTTTTTTATCAAGGGCTAATACAGGAAATAGAGGTAGCCAGTATGTGAAATTCAGAGTGAATGATCATATTTCAAAACATGTAAAAATAGTTTCTCACCCTAGTCCTATAATGCCAAATGCAAAATAAAGGTTTGTTTGTTTCAGGATAAAAGAAGACACAATCCCCCATTTAATGTAAACTTTTGTAAGACCTATGCCTCTTTAAATAGGATTAGAAATTTCCTTAAAAACCTATTGTGTACGTGTCCTCTGGCCTCTGGTGGATACCTACAGATCCCACTGATTCAAAAATATTAGCATACCTAAAAGAGACTTTTAAGATGAAAATTCCTAACTTTCTTTTTAAAGATGTAAAAACAACAAGGGTCTGCCAGTAATTAAGACCGCACCTGTGTCTTAATTTAGATTTATTCAGCCCTGCCTGGCTCGGCTATGCGTGATGCCTGTCCTGCGTCTGTGCTTTACCTGGATCCACGGCCATCTGTCATTTTCGGCAGCGGTCCAGGCATTGACCAAGCCCTTCTTGTTCAGGCGTGCAAAGTACGGGTACCACTTCTGCAAGCCAAAGAGAGCGCGGTGGGTGGAGGAGGCCGTTATCTGCTGGTTGGAGATTATGCCGCCCTCCATGCCCAGCGGTCCGGAGCATTCTAAGAAAAGAAAGGAAGGAAGGACAGATGAACCTTTCAAAACACTCAAATACAGTAAATGTCACCAACGACGTACACATTTCCAAGAATACCACAAGTTTGCACTTGGAGGGTCAACATTTTTCTCCCGTTTTTTTTCTTGCTGCATCATGATTTTTTTTCCGTCACTCTTTCATGTGTTTGTATCACAGTTAATGGACATATTAAAGTACTGGTAAATCAGCTTTTTTTATTTAAATTGCTACTCTTCCTTTAGTTTTTCCTTTATTCTTTTCCTCTAGCTCTGATTTGACCTCCTTATAGGTATGTTGACCCCAATTTCTTCCTGTCTTTCTGTTTTTAGCAGCATCCTTCTTAGACAAAGCAGTCAGCATGAAGACTTCCCACGGCATTTATACATTTTATTTTCTAAATTGCTTTCATTAGGAAGAGCTCTGTGGGAGTTCTTCCTGAGGAGCTGTGGTCACTGCAGGACGGCATCATCCTCAACGTCAACAGGATTTGGAACAACTGCAGCTTCCTCTGAGTGGAAAGCTGCTCCCACGTTATCTGTACACCCAGATGAACAAATAAACAACCAAACTATTCAATAAATATAAATACTGTAAAAGGAAATCTTGTAAAAAAACCACACTGTTGTACTTCCATTGAACAAACATGCTTTGGATATAAGGAATATTAATTTAAATTAAAATGAATGATAACATGAGTGTAGACATTCATCACTGTAAAGATATTAATTAAACTGAACGCCAAAGGTTGTTACAGCTATTTTTACATATTTTTTAAACACAAGATTCTTCCAAGTCTACCCGTATTTGCTAAGAATGATAATAGTTGCCAACTGTGTGCTTTCATTTATTGTTAATTAACAGTTGTTTAAAAGAGGCCAGACACTGGTGTACCAAAACATAACCCAGACAGTTTGAATGTGCTGCATAAAAAGCTGCAGAACATGAGTAGGAAAAAGATTTGTCTAAAGTTAAAATGACTGAAGCTGTAATGAATTTGTATCATCTCAACTCTGCATCATGCAAACCTTCACCTAAAATATGCAACCTACTCACTTAAAGGGACTTTACGGAGTTTTGAATTTTTATGCTCGCGATTGCCCCCTCAGGCCAAAAGCGTAACGGCAGCTTCAATAGTAGGCTCGTGCACGAGGCGCGCATGCAGTACGTGCACACTCCTTAACGAAAATAACAGCTGAGACGAAGCTCTGTGAAGCTGACGGGGTTCAGCTTCAGAGCTCTGAGAGCTGACAGTCCCTTGTGTGTGTGTGTGTGTGTGTGTGTGTGTGTGTGTGTGTGTGTGTGTGTGTGTGTGTGTGTGTGTGGCCCGGAGGACAGAGGGCAGGAGAACGTGCAGCTAATTAATTAAATAATTTGGTTCTGTACCTTTCTCTTCAGCACAGCTGACTAAGGTTTATGATGGGTCAGTCTTCCTGCATGCTCAGATCATTCCCTTCCCTTGCTTGAAAAATTGTTCCAAAATGAAAGCAGAACCCACATCTTTTTTATCTGTGAATTCAATGCCGTTCGGCGAGTCTCAAAATATACCATTAATGTAAAAAAGAAATTCTAAATAAAATATGTTCACATCCAGAATCGAACTTGGGTCTCCTGCACGAGAGTCCGACATCTAACTAGATGAGCTAAACCACCACTGATGTTTTTGGTATCTGTAATATTTATATCTTTGATTACAGCTAAAACAACGTTCAAAGAATGGTTCGGAGTGAAAATGGCTATTTTGTTGCTAATTTGCAGGAAATATCCAGAAGAAAGTAGCTAAGGGTCCTCAGAAATGTAGCTAGGTTCGTCACTAGGCGTTAGGAACAGCGACAAAGTTGCTGAGTTGGCACTACCTCACTCTCTGCTGCTAAAGCTACTGGTAGCAAATGCTACGGGCTATGCCTGAGCATGAACGCGCATGAAGCAGCCTGCTCGACCCGAGCAGCTCAGCTCAACTCTCTTTTTCTGTGATCTTACAGAAAATCAGGCAATCACAGTAAAAATGCCAGGGCTCATTCTACAGGGCCAGGGCATTGCAGGAGAATGTATGAAGAAGAAATTTATTATTTATATACATGTTTTGGCTGTCAAACTTCCATAATGCCCCTTTAAACCTGGCATTGCATTGCAAACCAATTCAGTTTTACAGTGATGATGCAAACAGCATCCTCACAGCTCTGCTTCACAGAGGCTTTTCTGCATCATTTGTGAAAGATGCTGATGTTTTAATTAGTCTCTAAGTCAAGCAAACCGTTGACTTAAATGCAGAAGATAATAGTAGTAGAGGGTTTTATTTCCAAATGATAAATTGAATGAGTGCTGAAAAAACCTGCCTTCTCAACAATGTCATTTTTACTGATAAAATGGTGACAATATTTCAACTAAATGAAATCCATAAAAAGGATAATCTTCCAAAACAAATGATGATGAGGGAATTTCCTCTGAAAACATTTCACAGGATGAAGGTACCATTTGCCCGGACAGCTCAGACGCTCTGAGGAACATTGCTGAACGTTCACCGGATATTCTGACACACTCCACAAAACTAAATCTGTTTTTTGTTGGTTTGTTTGTTTATGACATTTAATTCTCTGCAAGAGGCAAAAGTTCATGCAGTCATTTTCTTCTAATGTGTGGAAAACAGCTTTTCATTTTGAGCGTCATGGTACGGCAGCAAAGCAATAGCACGGTGAATGCATAATTCATGGCTGTTTGTCTCTTCTACTTTTCACTTTTTTCAAATGGAAACTTTTTGGGGAATTTAAACAATTTCCTCTTGGGTATTCATGAAACGAATCTGAGTCTAAATTGAAATAATTGGTTGCCCAAAATAATAGTAATAAATTAACTATAGGAACAGGTAAAAGCCTTCTATTGGTTAATTACTGCATGGGCAGCTATTGTTTAGCTGGCAACAAGTTATTTCATCCCAACTGGTGTAATGAGAAGAGAGGCAGATGAAGTGATATACACATCATGCCTAGTGCCTACTGTACAAGCCTGTGGGGGCAGTGCTATGATCTGGGGTTCCTGCAGTTGGTCAGGTCTAGGTTCAGCAACAGGATGTGCTCCAAGAATGAGGTCAGCTGACTACCTGAATGTACTGAATTACCAGGTTATTTCATCTTCCCTGATGATACGAGCATATTCCAAAATGACAATGCCAGGATGCATCGGGCTCAGATCATGAAAGAGTGGTTCAGGGAGCATGAGGCACTGTTTTCACACATGGATTGGCCACCACAGAGTCCAGACCTTAACCCCATTGAGAATATTTGGGATGTGCTGGAGAAGGCTTTGTGCAGTGGTCAGACTCTACCATCATCAATGCAAGATCTTGGTGAAACATTAATGCAACAATGGATGGAAATAAATCTGGTGACGTTGCAGAAGCTTATGGAAACAATGCCAGAGTGAATGTTTGCTGTAATCAAAGCTATTAGTGTGACCTTTTTTTTTGGCCAGACAGTGTACACACATGACCAAAAAATCTGCCATGTAGACCAACATGGACCCCAACAACCACCTTTATCTGAATAATATGGTCAGGGTCATAGGAGCAGCAGCTCCAGCAGAGAAGCCCAAACCATCCTCTCCCCAGAAACGTCCACCAGCAGGACTCCTGGCCAGCATGAAGATGTTATCCCTCCAGCAGGTCCTGGGTTGACCCGGGGGCCTCTTGCCGGCAAGACATGCCTGAAACGCCTCCCATGGGAATCATCCAGGAGACATTCTGACCACATGCCTGGATAACCTAGCTCAATATCACCTGTACTGAGTTAAAGAATAAAATATTGTGGGATGATGTCATACAGATGTTATAGATTAATGTTTCTGATTAAAACAGGGACAACTGTTCTATTTTGTGAATTATGGTGTATCTGGGAATAAAACAAAATGCTCATTCAACTACTTCTGTTAGTGTGCCTCTGGTCACAAAGGATTAAACAGAAGTGTGTAAAACCTTAAACAGGGAAAAGGCTGAGGGAGCTTCAAAGTGTCCCAAAAGAATGAGAGTGTGTCACGCTGCAACTTCAGTCAGATCTGCAGCTGGCTGCAGCTGAAGTGTGTCCATGCAAACCAGCCTTTAGGGGAAGCCTGAAGCAATAACCACCTGAAAGCTATGATGCAGCCTTCAACATTTAAACAAAACACCGACACATCTCAAACTCTGTGCTTACATACTGATAGAATAGGCACACACAGTAGCAGACAATAAAACTGGCAGCGCTGAGAGCTGTGAGGAGACTTTCACCACACGAGAGAGCCAAGAGTCAGGAAAGAATGGAAGAATGAAAACAACCTTAGCACAACTCATCCAGCTGCTAAAACTGTGGGGCTCTAGTCAACAGGGAGCCGAGGAGACATTGAGTAATGTCTGAGGAGAGTCCAGGGAGGATCGACTGGAGGAAGGAGAATATCTCTCTGTGTGTGTGTGTGTGTGTGTGTGTGTGTGTGTGTGTGTGTGTGTGTGGATACTGACAGAGATGTGTTCATATATTCCAGCATGGTAAATAAGTTTTGCTTCACTTCTTCATCATAGGTGACTCACTGCTTCCAGACTCGTGTAGGTGGATGTGCAGGCGTGCTGCTGGATCTCAGAAAGCTGATTTTTACGAGATCCGATGGATCAATCCAAGTCGGTTCTGTTCAAACGTTGAGCTACAGGGAATAAACAGCTTTTATTTTTATGCAATCTATTCCTATTCGGAGTAAAAGCTTGTGTAAATGAAGATGAGAAACTCTCTCACTCCTGTTTTGCTCCTCTGGAATTGTCAGCAACATTTTACATAAGCAAATGCAATTTCATATTACAGGTTTATCTGTGGGAAAAACAAACAAACAAACAAACAAACACAATCTTTCAACCAAACTAAGATAAAACCAAAGGGACATGAATTGCACCACGCGTGATTTAGGCTTAATTGCGGGGGGGGGGGGGATGAAGAACTTCCATGAGTTTCTTGAGCTGGACCTGACATCGAA